TAAAAATAGGAAACAGAGAAAAATGAAGGACCAGTAAGTAGCACTTTGTGATGCTAGTGTCTTTCTTAATTTTATCCTCCATGTACATTTCATTTTCCAGAATGATTGGGAAGGCATTCTTCACAACACCAGTCACCTGCAGGCTGGGTAGAGGGCTGGTCCTCAGCGTTCGATTCATACCCTGTGATGGAGATGGCCAAGGTCGCTAGAGTAGAAGCTGCCATGGAGATAACCTGCCCTGGTAACTCTGCTCCTGTAAAACAAACGTGCATTTTTAAAGCTTCTTAAAGGCAATGAACAAAATGGGAAATAACTTACAAATTGAAACACAGTGCTAAGTTTTCAATAGCAATAAAACAAAATGGTTATTACTGACCCACCAGATCAATGGTTCTTTACCAAGGGAGAAGGCTTAAGAATCAACAGGAAAGTCTGCTAAAAATGCAGGTTCCTTGATTCTCTGTGTAGCTCTCATTTGGGACCTTCGTGTGGCAGACAGTGGATATATAAATGTGGATTGCCACTCTTATTTTTTTTAACTTCACAGGTTAATTTTAATGCACACCTCTGTTGAAAAACACTGCCACATCAAGTCTGTGAGCTTCCTGAATGCAGACTTACTCTCCTTTGTATCACTAGCTCCGACGACAGTATGGAAAAGCTCATACTCAGTGCTCTCAATAGCATCCCATGAGTGAATATGCAAATGTCTGGGTATCATGCAAAACCATATACAGCCGACCCTTGAACAACAGAGGTTTGAACTACTCAGGTCCACTTATACATGGATTTTTTTCAGTAAATATAGTATCTTTATTTTCATTTTACAGATCTTTAATTAAGCGTAGGAAAGAGTTTTTGTTTGATTAGAGAGCACAACATAAGAATCAAAAGAACTAGGATCTGAATCCTGATTCTACCCAAACTATTTCAGCTTCCTGCCCTTGAGGGAGTCAGTTATCAACTTCTTTGTCTTTGAGGGAGAGAGAGAAGTTTGCAGATTTTTTACTGCACATGGAATCAGCACCCCTGACCTCAACATGGTTAAGGGTAACTGTATACCTATAAGGTTCAAAATTCAGCACAGGCAAAATCCACTAGTTGAAAACCTAAATTATCATCATCATCCTGTTTCACATATTTATATGTCCCCATGTTAAGTTCCTACCAAGTGGTAAACTAGACTTAACCATTTGCACTAGATTCAAAAAAAAAAATTCACTGGCCAATGAGGTCCATCTGTACTGGTTAACCTTTAATTTGCTATGGCAGACAATACAGACTAGCTCACACGATACCAGGTCCTAGCATGCTTCCCTGCACCCTATGGACTGGAGAGCTAAAGACTGAATTTTCCGGACTCTTTGCAGCTGCAGTTCCACATGGGATACACCTGCGCAGACCTGGAAGCCCTAAGTGACTCACCATAATTCGGAAGCTCTCATGTCAAACACAGTCATGGAGGCATATGGTTTTTCTGCAGGAACTTAGCAGAAGTTTCAGGGGTTCTGCTGTCTGATCCCTAACTTTGTGGCAGGCAGCAGTAGCTGAGGCACTTCTAATCAAACAGTCCTTTGGTGTTATTGACCATTTCTCTGGGTTGCATTGCTTCTGCCTGTCAGATCCAAGCTTAATTACCTGTTTTTTCCAAAAATCCTGTATATAAAAATTCTTTATGTGAACCAATACCTCTTTCTACTTAGACCAGTTGGCATGGATTCCATTGTCCAACTAAGAATGCTGACTGTTCCTAGTCCCCCGATCATGCACACACCCACATTCATACAGCTGGGACCTTACTTTTGGTAGCCCAACATTCAATGCAACAACATAAAATTCTGCCAAGTCAATGAATAGAGCAATGATCTTTATAAGGTCATGAATTACAGCTCCAAATAAACTCTGCATACCCAACAAATCCAAGGCTGGCCACCTCCCAGAGGTAAGCAGGCCAGGGCCTGATATGGCTCCTTGGTAGATTCCGCCACAGGATCAAACTCATCTCTCACTCAACCACATCCTATCCTTCCTCTAATAAATGCCTCTATGATCTGGAAGAGGTTTGTTTTTTTTTTTTTAGGCAATCCAAAAGAAACTCAAACTCATGATCTAGGAAGACAGCGTAAGTCAGATGCCTGGAGAAGGACCTACTCTCCTGGCCTAAGTATCTGAGGTGTTTCTTAGATGCCAGTAAGAGAACAGGGCTGAGAGAGAAAGACAGTGTCTTTCATGTCTTACATGTTCAATTACTCACAGTATTGAATGCTGAGGATAAAGACACAGGTGCTGCCCCCAAAGAGTCTAGTGGAAGAGACAGATACGAATTAAAGAACTACATAAATGAATGTATACAAACCATGATGATTGTTATAAAGAAAAAATACTGGGTATTTCATGAGCTCCTAACAGAAGAAATCTGACTTAGTCTGAAGAATCAGGAAAGGCTTCTCTTTAAGAAGTCAAAATGAAGCTAACATACAATGGATGAGGAGGAATTAACCAAAGGAAGGCAAATAATATTTTAGATAGAAGGAAGCGAACAGGAAAGCTATAAGTGAAGAGGCTGGCTCATTAAAGAGACTGAAAGGTCAGTGTGTCGGAACACAGATGGCTAGTAGGAAACTGGTGTTGAACGAACAAGGCTGGAGATGGGAAGCCAGGTGATGCAAGTGGCAGGAGGCGGTACTAAGACTTTAATCTCTACCCTACAAGGAGCAGGAAAGCACTGAAGAGTTTTAGATAATTAGGTTATTCAGATAACTGTAACGTCACATGCAATTGTAAGAAATAAAAGATCCTCTACCTTTTATCCAGTACCCCCCACCCCCACCAATGGTAATATTTTTCAAAACTACAGTACAATATTGCAATCAGAACATCAGCATGGATACAAGATACAGAACAGTTTCATCACTGCAAAAATCTCTCATGTTGCCCTTTTATGACTACATCTCCCCACTCTGTAAACAATCAGTTCCGAGATACAAAAAGATCATTCTTACTGTTCAGTCATGAACAGATTACAGAGGACTAAGAGACAGTCCAAGGAAGTACATTACTGCACAACTACGGACAAGACACGATAAGAGCGTGGTCTGCAGTGGTCAACAGGGGAGATGTTGGAAAAGTGGCTGCATTTAAGAAACATGGAATAGTCAAAGTGGACCAGACTTGGTGATGAATAGATAACACGTAGGGAAAATGGATGAACATTTTCGACATAATAAAGTTCTTCTTAGACTTCCGGACAGAAGTTGTGGAAACCAGAAAGGTCTTAGGTCCCTGGGCACCCACAAGAGATTTCTTAGGCTCCACTCAAGAGCAAAGGTTGGTAATACCTAATGACTAATGGCCTGGACAGCACAAGGAAAAACAAAAAAAAACAAAAACTGCTTCCACTCAAAATTTAAAAAAAGCAAAGTATTCTCTTATATAAGATTAACAATTAGTCTAGGGTCCTCGATTACTAAGTCTGCCTCTTTTTAAGTAATTTAATGAAGTGGTGACTCATCTCCGAGAGACTCAGAAAAAGAAGTCCCTTGATGGTTAAGCAACTCCACAATGACAAGGTCATTGCATCACTCCTCAAATATGGACTTTCAGTTAGGCTGCATTTGGGTTATACTTCTAAACTCCCACTAAGCATTTATTTACCAAACAAGTGAGTAGGCTACGTGTTGAGACGAGAGACTTAAGACTAATAAGCTCAGTCTAATAATTAAACTGTCAGTTATGATTCAGTATGTTAAGAGCTAATGCAGAGGTAAGTGTAGAATATTTGGGGAAGTCATGCTTGGAAGGTCAGGGAAGAGTCTGTATAGGGACCACCTGACAAAAATAATAAGCGATGGCTTCCCTTAGATCCACTTAAACAAGTTAGCCAGATAAAGAAAACAGAATAGCTTTATCTTGGGGTGAAAGGAAGAAGTGCGTGTCTTGGAGGACAGAGGTAGAAAAGCTTTCCAGCAAGACAAAAAAGCAGGGATAAAAACACAAAGGCAAAAAAAAAAGCAGGGTGTGCTGCTCAAAGAAGTCTAGTAAGGATGGGACACAGGTACAACAAGAGTGGAGAGGTGGAAGGATGCAGAGGGAGAACAGGACCAGAGGATGGAAGGGCTCGTGTTTACTGTTCACAGAGGCAGTGCGGCTCAGTGGCTGGGGTCCCAGGTGAGGAAATGAGACTGCCCAGGTGCAAATCCTGGGTCTACTTCTTACCACTTGGATGACCATGGGCAAGTTACTTAAGACTTAGGTGCCTTAGTCTCCTCACGTGTGAAATGGGGCTTATATAAATTCCTATCTCATGTGAGAATTAAGTGAAACAATACATATAAAATGCGTAAAACAATGCCTGGTATGTGGGACTCTACAGATTTCAGTTCAACAAATAGATATTATTATTACCACCATCTGTATCAAAACTGCTGGCTTTGACAGGATAAACTAAGCAAAAGCCACCAGCACCCCTACAGTACTCGCCTGTACCTCTCGTCCCGTTCCTACTTCATCTTATAGCCATTTCCCTAAGTCTTACCCCACCTAGTAAACATTTTTAGATTTCCCCACAGAGGTACACAAAATATCTTACATACAGTTGGCAACGAAAAGACTTGAGGGAAAGTTAAGACCAACAGATTAAATCTTCACAACTGTGGTTTAAAAACTTTCTCCAGCTTGCTCAGGTCACCAATAAATATTCAGTAAATCTTAGCTAAATTAATGAAAGCTATGCACTACCACCCTAGTTAACAGACAAATGATTCAGCCCATTTTTAGAATGACTGAAACTTCACAAAGGAACTGAAGGAACAGCACACAGAGAAAAATCGAAAAGTATCTAAAAATTATGGGTATAAGATCTGGCAACTGCTCCTACTTATCAGACATATGAACTCTGACGACTTCTGCCTAGCGGTACCCTTCTGCACTTCAAAAACCCCAGGGTTTTTGGCAGAAAGCTGATAAGTTAGAGGAGAATGTTAGGATCGAGAATCTAGGCAAGTCATGGTTCTGGGAAAAAAGCCCCAGCTAAAAATAGGCACGTAGGCCAGGGAGCATAATCTTGGGACTCCAGAGCTATAAACAAAGAAGGGAAAGAGCGCCCAAGGTCTCAAGTGTCAGCCTACCCACGGACAGGGCCAGTACTAACTGGAGGCCTTAACAACGGAGCCCACTCCAGACCAAACAAGCAGACGGCTGACACTAGCAGCCTCGCACCAGGGGACAGAAACTCCTAGCCTCACGTATAAGGAAGAGATCACGTGTTCAGATGATATCTGTCAATATGGCTAAATCAACAATGAGCAGAATAATTTTTTTTTAATAATCAGGGGAAAATATATTGTGAAGCCTGTGCAAATAAGGAGATAACGGATCTACTCTGTTCTCCTTCACAGGGACGGCTGCAGTTGTCAGGAATGCATCCATGTTTCCTGGAAGGAGGCCCTTCGTATCAAGTAAATCTCCCCAGCACGTAAACTTCCCTTTGAAGAAGGCTTCTGTTTCCATTACTGATGTGGAAAACGCATCTCCTCCTCAATGGCTTTTAACGTCACTTCACTGTACTACTGGTCAGTAACAAGCGCTTGGACGTGGACCACTAGGAGCTTCTCTGGGCCTATTTAACTGACAGCGGCAGAGCTGGGGAACGTGGGAGAAGCAGTAAAAAAATTCAGTTTGCTCTCTTTCTTCTTCCAATTAGGGCTTACCTGAACCAAACTTGTTCAAGTCGCATGCTATCCCAAACAATTAGGGCAACTCTGAAGCCTTCCCCACCAAGGTACTTCTGGTCACTTATAAAACAATGACCAATGTCAGGAGGAGCAGGCCCAGGTGTAACTACCTGTACTTCTCATCCTGGGTGTCCAGGCTATGAAGGATACAGCTGATGCCTGTTGTTTGCCTTGCTTTTGAAGAAGTACTTCTCATATGCAGAGTAAATGGCCCTCTGCGCCTAAGTTCCTTTATCTACAAAACAAGGGTAATTCCAATCTCACTGGATTACTAAGAAAATTAAATAAGATAGCATGTTTAAAGAGCCTAACAGGGCCTCACCCACCAAACAGAACAATAATGTTAGTGTTTCTCTTTTCTCACAGGCCGAGGGAACACACCAAAGCTGGATTCCAGGTTTCTGCCAAGAAAGACTTCTGGGCTCTGGGAGGCAGAGAAGCTAGGTACCATACTTGTGGTAGGCCACCAGGGCCAACATGAAGACTGAAGGAGTTAACAACTACAACTGAGTGTGAGAGGCATCAGCAGCCAATACTTTTTCAGGATGACTGATGCTTGTCAAGGAGCCTGATGAAGGGAAAGAACACTGGGTATATGTGAGTGTCAAGGACCTAAGTTTAAATCTTAGCTCCACCTGTGGGACTGTGGGCACATCAGTTAATCTCTAAAATTAAGTGTCTTCATCTGCAAAATGGAGATACCTATTTTACAAGGTTTGGGGTGGGAGATGTTTTATACGTGGATTAAAAAAATAGTACATTTAAAAGCATGGGAGACACTTAACATTCTTCCCACATTATCTTGGGGTTCCAGAAAATACCAAGTAAGAGCTCCCAAGGTCTAAGAGAAAAATCACAGAGTAAGGTTCCAAAGGAAGCATTGAAACTAACTCAGCAAGACCCACGAGAAGAGTTTTCTGGATCTAGAAACTAAAATTCATGCTTTGACTCTGATGACAACTGAAGGATTAATTCTGTGAATCCAGTGACTCACAGATCATAAAAGCTTCTACAGCAGCTAAAGACTCAAAGCTTAACATCCCAAATGTCCATCAACAGATGACTGGATAAAGAAGTTGTGGTACATACATACAATGGAACATTACTCAGCCATAAAAAAGAATAAAATAATGCCATTTGCAGCAACATGGATGGACCTGAAGATTGTCATGCTAAGTGAAGTGGGCCAGAAAGAGAAAGAAAAATGCCATATGGCATCACTTATATGAGGAATCTAAAAAATAATAACAATAGTAGTAAGCACACAAAGGAACTACTTATTAGTTAAAACCAAGATGATTGATTTCTTGAATATGTATAAGCACATTTGACTGTCCTCTATGATTGGGTTACCGCATTCTGTTGATTCTCATTTTGTAGTTGGCTTTATTCCTTTGATAACTATGTAACTTTAAAAAGCTAAGGCTCTAATCTGTCAATGATCAATACATATATGTAAACTAAAAAAACGTGCAGTACACTGTACGTACGTATTTACATGCAATATAATGTGTGTGTGTAGTCGAACTGTAATAATCCTACCTAATAAAACTGGAAAAGGAAAAAAAAATTCAAAAGTTCAGAAGACATAGAGAAAGATGAACACACAGGTGACTAGGATATAAGAACAAACCCTACAATGGGACGCGGAGATGACAAGGGAGGAATAAGTGCACTCGCTGCCAGGGCAGTACACTGAAGCATTCCTGTGCCTAACTATATTACAGTGACATCTACAGGAAGGAATTGACTATAAAGAAGGGAAAGGTTGTCCTAATATGGTTTGAGTTCTGAGGCCTAAAAGAAACAAAGTTCTAGGGGCAAGAAGAAAAAAATACTCAGAAATTTATTTAAAAAAAAAGAATGGTTAAATAATTTATCCTACGATGAGGATTATCTACACTAGAAGTCCATAAAAGTGGATACTAGATCAAGAATAACCTATTCTGAAATAGGCTGCAATGAACATAAACAAAACGAGGAAAACCAACATTTCCAAATCCGCCCTCAATGTTTATTCTGTCTCTGTGATTTCTTTTCTTATAGTAGTCTAAAATACAATTATCAGAAATCTGACTTGCATGCCAACATGCACAGTTGCCAGAGACCATGGTGGGGGGGTGAGAAAAATGAATGAAGGGTCAAAAGGTACAAACTTTCCTGTTATAAAAGAAGTAAGTCACAGCTATGTAATGTAGCATGGTGGCTACTGCTAATAATGCTCTATTGTAGATTCGAAAGTTGCTAAGAGAGTAGGTCTTAAAAGTTCTCAAAGAAAATCTGGTTACTATGTAAGGTGATGGATGTTAACTAGACTTACCGTGGAGATATATACAAACACGGAACCATTATGCTGCACACCCAGAACTAGTATAATGATATATGTCAAATATACCTCAATTGAAAAAAAAGTTTTTTAAAGAGATGCCAGAAGTAAAACAAAGGAGAAAACTGTCCTGGGATGAGGGCTGAAGGACAAGCAGAGCTGCCTGAACCACCACTACTAGGGGAAAAGGGGAAAGGAGACAAAGTTAATCAAAGGAAACCACCACACTTTCTATCGTAGTTGCCAAGACAGGAAGTTTACTTCAGCTAGTTTGATATATAACCCACAGAGTCTGACAGATTGTGACCAGGAAGACAGGCCGAGCAAAGAAAACTCAGAAAGACAGCAAAATACAAAAGAAAATAAAATCTTTCCTGTTTTCCACTGTCAGAGAGATAAGTAATTAAAGTTTCTTTGTTTCAGGTATTAATTTTAAAGTTTTAAACAAATATTTATGAATAGAAGATGTCTAACAATTGTCAGACATCACTCATCTACCAAATAAATACAGGAGTAACATAATTGAAAAACTTCTATAAAGCAGCTGTACAAATACACCAGAGTGCCACAAATAGCCTCCTGATGAGCATAAAATGCAGATGCTAAAAACAATGTAGAAGTATGTTCACTGACACAGAAGGGTGTTCATGACAATTAAAATGAGGGTTACAAACCAATTTCACTATGATCCAGTTTTCTTCTGTTTTAAAAAGTTTTAAAAACTTTTAAAAGTTTTTAAAAAAAAAACAGCATTAAAGCCATTAGTTAACATTTTGGTATCATCTGTGGGCAGTGGGAGTTTTAGTGATTTTTATTTTCTTCTTTTTGTTTGTATTTTCTAACTTAACTGTAACAAACACACCTGAGGAATTAATTTTTTTCTTTAAAAAAATCTGCTACAATTAGTAATCTGCTCTTGTAGTTTATGTTTAAAGGGACAAATGTTAGTCACCGTAGAATCTGCTGTTCAAATTTCCCCCTCTAGTCGCAGCCGTTTCCACATGGCTGGATAACTAAGTTCAGTCTGATGATCTCAGGTCCACGATTATACCTAGCCACTGCACCCATCCACCTCCTCACAACTCACTAGAAACCTGTATTTTTAACAAACTCCTCTGGACCAAGGCCACTTACAACCAGGGTACCTCAAAAATCTTTAAAACAACATGGTTATACATCATTGTACTGGAAGTTCCAGCCAGAGAAACCAGGCAAGAAATAAAAGGCATCCAAATTAGAAGGGAAGACGTCAAACTCTCTTTATTTGCAGTTGACATGATCTAACAATTGCAAAATCCTAAAGAAGCCGCAAAAACTATTAAAGCTAATAAACAAATTCAGCAGTCGCAGGATACAAGATCAACTGGGGTAAATATTCACGACCTTGGATTTGGCAATGGTTTGTTAGATAGGACACAACTTGTGGAAATTAAACAACGTACTTCTGAGTAACCAATGTATCGAAGAAGAAATCAATGTAAGGGAAATCAAACAGTATCCTGACCCAAAGAAAATGAAAACACAATATGTCAACTTATAGGATGCAAAAGCAGTTTTAAGAGGGCAGTTTATAGCTGTAAGTGTCTTCAGTAAGAAAAGAGAAAGATCTCAAATAGATGACCTAATGTTATGGTTAACTGCTTAGTGGGCACAGGGCTTCCCTTTGGGGTGATGAAAATGTCTTGGAAATAATGGCTGCACAACACTTGGAATGTACTAAGTGCCACTTTAAAATGGTTAGTGGTTAATTTTATGTTATATGAATTAAACCTCAATTAAAAATGCCGAAAAAAAAAAAAAGGAGATGGGGAGGTGGGGCATGATCTAACCACCTATTTTTAAAATTTATTTTTTGTTCAGGAAACACCACTGATTTAAAGCAGTTCAACATAGCATTTTTTTCTTCATCATAACTTATTTTTAAAATTAAGCTACTCTCCCAAATACTTAACAGCAATATTAACAGAATGCCCTATTTCTTACCAGAAGATTCTTTTCCATTCTGTTTTTCATAGAGGGTGCCCACGGACATCAGGAAAACAATAACCAGGAATACCGGAATTCTCCATGAGCCAGCCAAGGATGCTGCAAATTATTAAGAATGAACATTTTTAGTGAAACAGAAACCTAGCACTTGTCTTTAAAAGACTTAGTTTAGTAGACTGACAGAACAGTTTGGCATACATGTTAATAACAAAATTGTTTCAAGTGGAAAAAACATTTTTTAAAAGGCCACCAGACAGCTGAAACCTCAATTCAGGGCTCCTCTCAGAAGTCCAGCCCTGCTCTCAGAGGCTCTGGTCTAAAGGACTGGGTACGTCCCAGCCTACCTTTAAGGGGCATGTATCACCTGAGGGATCAAATCCAATCTAAAGCACGTCCGCGGTTTAGGACTATCCCGAAATGAAATCCCCTGTTTAGCCCCAGAATGACTGGCATTAAGCATAGAACCTAAAGTCATGGAGCCTGATTTGACTTCCTGGAAATACCACCGGGTGTGAATGTTCTCTCTCAAGAAAAGATAAAGTGGCTCACAAGAGCATGGCAAAAAGCTTAACTGTATCCTCAGTGCACAGGACAAAAATGCTAACAAGGGCTAGGATCAAAAGCCATCTGTAGGGGGGAGGGTGTAGCTCAATGGAAGAGTGCATACTTAGCATGTGCAAGGTCCTGGATTCAATCCCCAGTACTTCTATCAAAATAAATAAGTAAACCTAATTACCTCTCACCCTACCCCACCCCCCAAAAAAATCCAAGGGAAAAAAGCCATTTGCATTTCCCTGAGTTAGTCTAGAGTCTCATGAATATACCTGCCTGTCTCCTTCTTCTGCCTTCCCTAAATTAAAAATGAGCCCCATCAGATATTAGGCGATCTTAGTTTTAACAATAAGTAGCTCTAAAAATGACTTCTAATACGCTCTCTACTACTCTAAGTTACTGAATTTTGTTTTTAAATTAGAACTTGATGTTTTCATAGACTTAAGGCTTGGAGATAAAACAGTCCCTGAAAATTCACTCTACAACATCCCAGCAGCCACTCAACTCAAATAACGGGGAACTCATTACTTTGAGTAGCTCTGACAATGATCATCCTTAAGTTGAAGAGAGATTTGTCTCTCTGAAGCTACTCCTTGCTCTGACATCTCTCCCTCATGGTTACAGTGATCTATTTAAACCACTCTTTCACAGGACAAGCCTTCCAATACTTGAAACAGGCTTCCATATTTGATATTGTCCTCACTTTCACCTCCTCCCCACCTCTGTAGCCCCAGTGCCCTTCTCTTATTGAGAGTAAACATCTCTGGTTCCCTTAACTGTTTCTCACACATGATTTTGAGTACCTCTTATCACCCTTGACTGCTAAGGAGTCCTCCTTAAGTACGACACTCAGAAATGATCATGATAGTCCGAGTGTGCTCTACTTTTTAAAATTATTTTTAAAAGACCTTTTTAAAAATGAACATTCAATATAACTAAAAGTAGACACTTTAAAGAATAACACTTTTGTTAAAGATTAATGAAAGATTAAAGCAGAACATTTTCAAACGATTATTTTAAAGAATTTTGAATGCAACATATAAAGCTTCAAAAAAATTCACTTGGATTCACAGTCAGCCTCTGCTGACCTTAAGCGAGACTTTCTTAGAAAAAGGAACCCACCTAAATGAAAAAGTAATATAATCCAGACAGGAATTGAAACTGCTCTCAAGTAGCGTTCAGTGCTTGCATTCCACTTGAATGAAACAGTCAACACATAGCCAACTACCAACGTCCAGATCTTAAATAAATGAAATATAGACACAGTTATAAA